TTTGGGCTTGTTTGTTCTTCTTTTTCTAATTCAGTTGGGTGTAATTTGAGATTGCTTATTTGGGATTTTTCTTGTTTGTTAAGCTGTGCCTGTATTGCGATGAATTTCCCTCTTAATATGGCTTTTGCTGCATCCCAAATGAGTTGATATGGTATATTATCATTTTCATTTGTCTGCAGATATTTTTTGATTTCTCCTTTACTTTCTTCAATGATCCATTCCTTGTTCATGTTGTTTAGTCTCCACATCTTTGTCCCTTTCTCAGGTTTTTTCTGGTAATCAGTTTCAAGCTTTGTAGCATTGTGATTGGAAAAGATCCTTGTTATTATTTCAATTTTCTTAAATTTGATGAGGCTTGCCTTGTTTCCCAATATATGGTCTATCCTTGAGACTGTTCCGTATGCACTTGAGATGAACGTGTATTCTGCTGTTTTTGGATGGAGTGTTCTATATATGTCTATTAAGTCCAACTGGTTTAGCTTTTCATATAATTCCACTGTTTCCTTGTTGATTTTATGTCTAGATGATCTATCCATTGATGTGAGTGGGGTGTTGAGGTCCCCTACTGTTATTGTGTTATTATTAATGTCTTCTTTTAAGTTTGTTAATCGTTGCTTTATGAACTTTGGTGCTCCTGTGTTGGGTGCATAGGTATTCATAAGTGTTATTTATTCTTGGTGGAGTGTCCCTTTGATCATTATATACTGCCCCTCTTTGTCTCTCTTCACCTGTCTTATCTTGAAGTCTACTTTGTCTGATATAATTATTTCAACACCTGCTTTCTCTTGTTTGCCATTAGCTTGGAGTATCGTCTTCCATCCCTTTACTGTGAGCCTGTGTTTGTCATTGGAGCTGAGATGTGTTTCCTGGAGGCAGCATAATGTTGAGTCTTGTTCTTTAATCCATCTTGCCACTCTGTGTCTTTTTGTTGGAGGATTCCATCCATGTATGTTTGTGGTGATTATTGATATATGAGGGCTTAATGCTGTCATTTTACCACTCATTTTCTGGTTGTCCTTCATTTCCTTTGTTTCTCGTCCTGTGTGCTTTGGTCTACCCATTGAAGTATGTAGTTTTTTTATGCTGTATTTCTTTGTTTTCTCCTTATTTATGATTCGTGTCTCTGTTCTGCTTTTTTGTTTAGTGGTGACTATGAGGTTTGTATTCAGAATCTCGTGTATAAGATAGTCCATTTTCTGATGGCCTCTCAATTCCTTAGTCTAAACTGATTCAGTCCTTTTCCTCCTCCCCTCCTGAGTTGTTTTTCTTATTCCATCTTGTGTTGTGAGTTTGTGGTTAAAGTGACAAGATTGTTTTTGGTGTTTTCCTTCCCTTTATCTTTAATGCTTCACTTAAGTATTTTGTATCCTAGTCTGGTTCTTTCTACCTATTTATCTCCTCACTCAGTGCTTTGTAACCACTTTCTCCCCTTTTTTCCCCCCAGGTCTGAGGGCTTTCTTGAGGATTTCTCGTAGTGGGGCATCTCGTGGCTACAAACTCCCTTAGCTTTTGTTTGTCTGGGAAAGTTTTTATTTCTCCATCATATCTGAAGGATATTTTTGCTGGATAGAGTATTCTTGGCTGAAAATTTTTGTCTTCCAACGATTTGAATATGTCATTCCGTTCTCTCCTAGCTTGTAAGGATTCTGCAGAGAAATCCGTTGAAAACCTGATAGGGGTTCCTTTGTAGGTTATATTTTTCTGCCTTGCTGCCCTTACTATTCTTTCTTTATCATTCATTTTTGCCAGTTTCACTACTGTATGCCTTGCAGTAGGTCTTTTTACATCGACAAATCTAGATCTGGAAGCCTCTTCCTCACTGATTTCTCTCTCTTTCCCTAGGTTCGGGAAGTTCTCTGCTTTTATTTCTTTGAACATGCTTTCTGCTCTATTCTCCTCTTCTCCTTCTTCAATGCCTATAATTCTTATGTTGCATTCCCTAATTGAGCCAGATATTTCTCGGAGACTTTCTTCATTTCTTTTTAGACTTAGTTCTCTCTTTTCCTCTGTCTGGAGCATTTCAACATGTCTGTCTTTGATTATGCTGATACGCTCCTCTATGATGTCCACTTGAGCGTTCAGGGAATCCGTATTTTGTTTTCTCTCTTCCATTGTGTCTTTCATCTCTAATATTTCTGATTGATTCTTCTTTATGGTTTCAACCTCTTTTGTGAAGCATCTCCTGAACTCATTGAATTCTTTCTCTACATTCTCTTTTACCTTGTTGAGTTTTTTGATGATAGTTGTTTTGAATTCATTGTCATTTAGATTACATGTTTGTGTCCTCAGGACTGAATGCTGGATACTTGTCTTTTTCTCTCTGGTCTGGAGATCTGATATAATGTGTGATATTGCTAGAGCAGGTAGCTCTGGTCTTACACATCCTGATATTATTTGGTTGCAGTTACTGCCTATCGCCACTGGGTAGGGGTCCAGAGCTGCATATTCTGAGCCCTCTGCTTTCAGAGGAGGTCTTAGGCGGTAGGGTGGGCTCAAGGTGGGTTGGGGGAGGGGTGCTTTCTCCTGCATGCTCTCAGGTCTTTCTCGCTCTGCTCTCATTATCTGCTCTCCTGGGGTGTTGGCTTGATGAGAAAGCCTCGACCCGGTAGAGGGCTTTCCTCTAGGCTGCACAGGCCCTCGGGTCCTTGATGTTCCCTCGAATGAACATCCCCTCCCCTGTTCCTTCCCTCTCAGAGGCCCCCTGCGGTTGTGGGTCACAGTCTATTAGGGAAAGGAGCAAGGTTTTCTCTTACCCTATTCCAGCTCTTCTGAGGGGCCTCCAGCTTCTCCGCCCTCCGTCATGTGGCTGCGGGTATCTCTCTGATGTTTTTTTGTTGTGTTAGGATGTCCTCTGTTGGAGTATGAATGTCCCTTTTCGTTGTATGTTGGAGAGGAGAGAGTCCTGGGCAAGTTCACTCCACCGTGATGCTGACGTCACTCCTTAAACATCATTTCTTAAAATTCGACTTTTGAGTCAGGCACTTGAGGCTGTCTTCCCTGGAAAAGACTCAGGTTTTTAATATTCTGTATTACCAATAAAGTACAGATCCCTATGCTTTGAAAAGGAACTAACTAGAAAGTAGTCTTAAGGTTTTCTGAGGCAAATTAAGGGGCCTCACCAAGATTCACACTTGGACACATGGTATGACCTCTATACTTAGATGACCTTTGAGTCAACGGCCCACCTTCTGCACTTGGTGACACTGAGTGGATGGCCTGCTCCTGCTCTCTGCACTTAAAAGGGAGTCAGGGAGCTGAGCGCCTCTGTTGCAGTGCCAAGCATATTTCAGCTTCACATGAGGGTTGATTCTCTGTGTCTGCATCTCCTTCTGTACTTCTGGTGCCTGGTGGACACGCGCTCTGTTGTACTCCCCATTGTCTACACTGAGGGATTTGTGTTTGTAGTGAATTGATTAGTAAGTCCCTTCATGCTTGGTATTCGTATATCACCAGATTGTTTTCTTCATTCGATTTTTTTTTCCTAAAATTGACAAGGAAGTTTTTTTCTCCTGTACCTTTTGTTTCATGTGATCCTGGTCTCTTTGTCAAAATCCTGTTGATCAGATAACACTACTTTACTCTAATTTCCTGAAAGATAAAACATCATTGTAATGCTGGTCTCAGAAGCAAGGGTATTTCACCCATTCATCCATTTGTTGTTCAAATAACATTTACTTAGTGCTTGACCTGTGATAGTCCTTGCACCCTGCCCTGTGCTTCCCTAGTACCCTATATTTATCATGAATAAATACAATGTAGTTTTCTTTTTTTTTTGCTTTTTCTCCCCAAGTACCCCCAGTACATGACTGTATATTTTAGTTGTGGGTCCCTCTAGTTGTGGCATGTGGGATGCCGCCTCAACATGGCCTGATGAGCTGTGTCATGTCCGCACACAGGATCCAAACTGGCAAAACCCTGGGGCGCCGAAGTGGAGAGGGCGAACTTAACCACTTGGCCATGGGGCCGGCCCCTACAATATAGTTTTCATACTCCCTTGATCATTCCTGTTTACTTGCCTGTTCCCTAGTTGGGGGAGGGGCAGGGAAAATATCTTGGTAATTGTTATATTCCCCATACCTGGCACATGATAGAACGCAGAGAAGATGCGTTGAATGAGTGAGTGAGTGAGTGGTTGAAGCTACAAACCATGCTAGAGTCAAGAGATGCAGCAATGAATAAGCCACTGTCTTATGCTACCTTGTAGAATTCTTTTTTTTTTAAAGATTGGCATCTGAGCTAACAACTGTTGCTAATCTTCTTTTTTTTTTCCTGCTTTTTCTCCCCAAATCCCCCCAGTATATAGTTGTATATTTTAGTTGAGGGTCCTTCTAGTTGTGGCATGTAGGACACTGCCTCACTGTGGCCTGACAGCAGTGCCATGTCCGTGCCCAGAATCCAAACCAGTGAAACCCTGGGCCACTGAAGTTGAGTGCGCGAACTTAACCACTTGCCATGGGGCTGGCCCCTGCCTTGTAGAATTCTCTTGCCAAAAATAATCTGAAGAACAAGTGCATGATATATGACAGATCAGCACTAGGTTGTGCTGGTTTGAAGAAACTGAAGTTGGGGAGATTGGTGGGAACACATATGGGGCGTGAGGAAATGGAGTGGCAGGCTGTGCAAGCAGAATGGCTCTGGGAGCGACCCCAGGAAGGTCCAGGCTGGAGCAGATGGAGGAAGCATTAGGATAGAGGGGGAGAGTCAGGACCCTGGATCATGAGCAATGGAAGAAAGCGCCTGTTTCAAAATGCATCATTACCATAAAAAATATGTCCCAGACTTTTCATGTTACAGTGACAGCAGACAGTACTCTCTGACCTGATCTAAATCTAGTGTAGATGGGTTTCCTTTAGGTCAGTTCACTGCTATTTATTGCAACAGTGACTTTAGGGTCCTTATTGAAGAGGAACAGAGAGACGCTTGGCCTTTTTTGTTTCTTTCATCATGTGGTTCTCATCAATAAGAAATAATTTTTTTTGTGTTTTATTTTTAATTACCAGAGAGCCAAAAGAAGGAGGTGTGCCCTTGGATGTTTCTGTGACGCCGTCCTCACTCCAGGTGAAAACCCCCACTGGCTGCACAGAGCTCCGGCTTCCAGCAGAGGTCAGGCTTGCACCTTCCTCTTGCCATGGGCTGCGGTATGTGGCTGGAGATGGGCTGCACCTGCGGCTGCAGACACAGGCAGACTTCAGCCCAAGTGAGTACCACGAGCACTCCTCTTGCTGCATTTACTTTTCCATTATAAAACAAAGGTGATTTTTCCTTTGAACAGCTGAACTTTTCCCAGTGAAAATAAATACTCATGGAAAGAGCTGGAGGTCGAGAAGATTTAAGTTCTTTGCCAGCTCTGCCAGTTATTATCTGTGTGCAGTAGACCACGTCGCTTCACCTTTCTGAGGCTTTGTTTCTTTGGGGGGTTTTTTTGGTGTTCTTCCACCCCCCCCCCGCCCCCAGTAGACTTTATTTTTTAGAGCAGTTTCAAGTTCACAGCAAAATTGAGCGGAAGGTACAAAGATTTCTCATATGCCCCCTGCTTTGTTTCTTTAATTATAAAATTACCTGGCTCATAGAGTTGATGTGAAAATTCTATCAGATGTCATTTGCGCCGATTGGTTGATTTGAAAGCATTACATAGAGATTCATTCATTCAACAAACATTCCCTTGTACTGTGTGCTAGGCATTCATCTAGGTGCTAGGGACACAGAAGTGAACAAGCTAGGAAAGTCTTTGCCCTCATAGAGCTTACATTCTAACAGGTGGGAACAGGTAATGAACAAATAAGCGACTTGGATACAGAGAAAAGTGCTCTGGGCCGAGTAAAGCAGGATAATGGGAGAGGGAGTGTCTGGGGTCATCCGGTAAAGGGTGGTCAGGGAAGGCCACTGTGAGGGGTGATACTTGACTGGAGAACTGAATGGTGGAAATGATCCTATCCGTGTAGAGACATTTCCAAATAGAGAGAACAGTACATATAAAGATTCTGAAATTGGATTTGATGCATAATTTGATTTTGATTGTTGCTATGCCTGTTTTATTTGCAGTTTTTTGGTATTGGCACATTGATTCACTAATATGGTAGAAATGTTTCTCAGAATAATTTATTGAATAAAATTATTGGTTCATTGCATCTCTTACCATGTAAGTAATATGATTTGGACGATTAAAAATTATGTAAAAAGGGGAAAGAGAGGCTGTAACAGACTGATGTGCTCGCTATCAGAGGAGGATTATAATTCTTCCAGCTGCATCCTGAGACTTGACAGCTGCCTCCTCTCTCCTAAGCCTTTTGTCTGAGCTGCATGGAGCCTGGAGGTGGGGTCTGCAGGATTGTTCTGAAGAGCCATTTAGGAGATGCGGAGCAGTCCCCTGAGTCTTTATCTGGCTTTTGAAACGAAAGAGAAGATAGAGGGAGTTTTGCTCCTCTTTCGCTGGAGAGTAATTTTTGCTCACTTCATGGGTTAGTGAATATCTAGTCTGAGTTGGCTTCAGGAACAAGGGATAGGGAAGAGAAATGTCGTGGAGCCTAAGTGTCATAGGATAAACGCCAAGAATGACTGTTGGAATAAGCATGGAGAGAAGAACAGGGTCACCAAGATGGGACTCCCTGAGGGTACCTACTAGTGGGCCGAGGGAGCATTGTTTCAGGGGAGATGCCCTGGGAGTCTGGCTCTTGTGGAGTCATCGCCTTCTCTTTAGAATGATGAACAGCAGGAATTCCGTGTTGTATCTGCAAACTGGGGAAAAGCAGGCCTGAAAGCCTCAGAGGGGTGTTTTTAGATCTGCTGCTGCTTTCCTGGGACCACGGTTTTAGGTCCCATACTGAGGAGGTGTGGAGACCTTCCAGAGGCAGAATTGGTTTCTTCCCTACCCGTTCTCTGTAACAGTTAATCTATAAATAACGAAATTTGAACTATTTAAAAAAATTTAACAGTTTTTCCTGAAGGTCAAGATAAATTACTGCTGTGTGTTGGTTTGCATATTGTTTGCATTCATTGATCTGTTTCTTTACATTTTGAAAACATATTTTACTCAGATATCTGAAAAGGAAACTTTCAAAGGCTTGTTCTCTAGTGCATGAAAGGGTATGCAAAATAGATTCCTCAGTACTTAATGCTTTAGTGCTGTCCACATAATAGGTGGTGAATAAATATTTGCTGAATGAATAAATATCAGATAGATGCATACTGATGTAAACTGGAATCCAAATGTAGAAAGTGGGTTTTGAAATTTTTTAGTGTTCAGTTCTTTTGGGGTTTTTGAAAAGTTGACTTCTCAACTGTAAGAACATAGAATAAGCATATTGTACACTGTTTTGAAGGTAACAAAGGTCAGATCATGACCCTTGCCAGGGAACTGGCTACAGTAACATCTGACACAGCAGGAGAATTAGACTCATCCCCAGGTGGCAGTGCTCTCCCAGGTTGTCACTGTGTCACAAAGTTTGGACTTGAGCCTGAGCCAGAGGAGCCATCGCACTGGGTGACCAGCAGAGGGCAGTGTTTCACTGAAAATTTGTTTTGAAAAGAATATTTTGAATGTCTGACCGAGGTCTACTCATTTTCTGTTCAAAGTTAAAAAGTACTGTTTACTTCACCTTAGTACTATAGAGATTGGTGGGCACCCCTCGAAATTAAATGGAAGAATTTTTAATTGCCAAGGCTTCACCTTTCTAGCACCAGTTTTTTAAATCTTAAAATACATACAAAGTAACATAAGCCAAATTCAAATTCTTTGATTCTAATGGATTTGACCTCATTTTTATAAGATTTTTTTAATAGACAAATATTTTAGGTTTTTTTTTAAATGAAAGTTTCCTTTCTTTATGAACGAAATGATGGAAACTAAGGGAACATACTGTTTTATGGCGCTGTTTCACATAATGTGGGAAATATATGTTATCCCACAGCTTTAGTCAGAAATCGAGGTTTGCTCTTAGAAGATGGAACTCTTCTTAGGAGCCTTTTCACTCCCCGAGACCTGCCCAGTAAAGACCAGTTTCAAGATTCATTTTGTTTGTACGTGCTGGTAATATGCCAGAGTAGTCATAAACCTTGTTTAAATCAAATGAAACTTAAATTTAAGAGCTCTGTTGACGAGCAATCACACTGATGAGAAACTGGCTAAGATGTGGTAGAAGAAAGCTGACGGTGGTGAAGCTCTGTGTTGGTAGTTAGTTTGATGGGAAAGAAATAGCTCCTCTTTTCTCATCCGTAATGTTGGTGCTTACAGGATGAGAGAAATAACTCAGCAGGATGTTACATGGATAATTTAGGGCGATACCTAGCTCTGAAACACTTAGCAAAATCTGTTGGTTTTGAAAACACTTCACAATGTTTGCTTCTGGTTGAGTCATCAGATAATACTAATTAAATGTGTACTTCTGGGTAGATCGTAAACTGTGTTTATTGATGGTAATTTGTTGTGGCTATTAAACTCTGTAAGTGTGTTAGTATATTTGTCCCAAACGTTTGCTATTGTCCCTAAGATGTGCTGTTTCGTTGATTTCTTTTAGAACTGGTTTCAATGTTTAATCAAAGCTCACAAGCCCAAGAATGTTGCACATTTTATTGCCAGTCCTGCGGTGAAGTCATAATAAGGGACAGGTAAGGGACGTATTTAACACTGATTAATTCTGTGTCTGCTAATAGTTTCCCTTTTTATAACAGAATTTTTGAAGTAATTGCCATGGGAGCAGTATATGGCCTTAAAATGAGACCCAGCTTAATCTCACTTTGAACAAAGTCAACCACAAAACTCTGCGGGAATCGCAGAGCGGTTAGGTCTTCTCAGGGTGATGAGGGGCACGCTAGGATGCTGGCTTTCAGGGAGGAAGGCTTATCTTGGTGGAAGAGCCTCTGCTGATCAGCGAAGCACCTCCTTTCTGGGAAGAGACGTGGGCCCTATCACACGTTTTATCCAGCGTGTTGGTGAGTGAGGTTTTCCACATCAAGTGAATTTTCAAAATAACAGAAGCTTCGGCAGCACGACTTTTTATTTGAACTGTTTCTATTAGTGCCTTCCTAAAATCCATTTCCTATTTCCCTGCTTATTAAAACAGAGCATATACAGCCCAAATTAACCTTTTCTCGATGGTTAGATTAGTCCTGGAGCCCGATTTTCTCGTGCTGCATTGTGATTACCCTGTTGAGATGGGAAGGGCACTTTGCTGGATTCTTTGCCTTCCCCAGTGGTCTCTTTAATTATTTTTTCCATCTTTTCTCTTCCTTCTGTAAGCTTCCTGTGTCCTGGGCACAAACCCTTTCCCCTGAATTTTCAGCTTCTAATCACTCATGGGCTGGAATTACAGATCAAAACCTTGTTATTGTTAACAATGTTTTTAAAAAGAGTTTAGAGTTCTTTGTTAGATGCATTTCCTCAGAGATGAGTGTCTGACACTTATATGTGAATGAGTCCTTCTTCATATCTGAAGCCTGCTCTTCTTCCAGTGTCCTTGTCACAATGAATGCCAAACCTCTACCTGCGTCCTCAGGGTAGAATCCTGATGTCGCCTTGGGTTCCTCCCTGTCCCCTCATATATAGTCAGTCACCAGGCACTTTTTCTTCTTCCTTCTCTGCATTTCTTATATGAGTCCACTTTCCTCCACCCCTAGTGCCACTATCTTAGTCAAGGCCACTGTCTTATCACCTAATAGCACTTGTTACCAGCTCCTTATCCGCTTAGCTTTCCTCTAGGTTTACCCCCATGTGATCATTTCTGCGCTACAGAGTGAGTGTTCTCAAATGAACAGGCTCCCCTATTCAGACTCTTCCATGGCGTCTCATTTCTTTCAAGATAAATTCCATAAGACCTTAGCATGCCACGCTGGGCCCTTTATGAGGCTGCCTCTCGGTACCTCTCCACCCTCATGGTTTAGCCCTCCTTCCCCAGTCTCCTTCCTTCTCCCCAAAACAGCACACCATTATTTACACACATTCTGTGCTCATCTCTAGTGGTCAGCCTGCGGTCTCTGTGTGCTTTATTCCACCCTAGGGCTTAGTGAAAGCTACCCTCTCCCCTGGAATGCACCCCACATCCCTGTCTTCCTCTCGTTGGCTCCTCCCTCAGTTCAGCCGACAGGGCATCTGCTGCTGGGAGCTTGCCCTCAGCCCTGGGTTGGTTCACATGCTCCTCTACCATTTATTTGCCTGTTTTCCTGATTAAACTGCAGGCTCTGGGGGCAAGGATATTCTTCTCGCTCCCTGTATCCCTTAGCCCCACTCATATTTAGAGTGCAGTATAGTGCAGTGGCTAGCAGCTAGCATTATAGACTCAGAAGCCAGACTGTCTGGGTTTGCATCTACCATTTACCTACTGTGACCCTGGGCAAGTTACTTCACCACTCTGTACCTCAGTGTCCTTACTACAAAATGTAGGTAACAATAGGAGCTACCTCATAGCATTGTTGGGAGGATTGAATGAGTTTAAGTGTTTATGACAGCACATGGTAAACATCCAGTATGTGATGGCTCCCGCTGTAATTATTCTCATCATCATCATTGTCCCCAGCATCAGGCCTAGTGCCTGGCCAATAGTCCACTCTCAATAAATTCTCACTGGGTTGAATTGAATAAACATTAGGTGCTTCCTTTGGCCTTCCCCCAGCCTCCCTTGCTTGCTCTCTGATTCCTGGCAGTGTCCCAGGTAGACGAGATCGTGGAAAGTTACCCCAGTGTAAGTGAGGGGTGTGAACAGAGCATCCTCTGAATGATTATCTTGGGTAAAGATGAGGTGACTGTGCATCTGCAGAGGAGAGGAGACCCTTGCTCAGATTACCTGAGGGCTGAGGTTGCCGCACTCTCTGGCAGGCCCACTTTAGCCTCAAAGGTCCAGAGGATCCCAGATGACGTGTAGTTTAACCAAAAAAGTTTACCTTCTCTCAGTGTGTTTCAGGCTTTGGTTTAATTCTCACGTGAGGTTTCTGAAACACGCATGCTTGTACAATGAGGTGACAGAAGTTACAGTAGGAATGAGTTAAATTCAGTGTAACAGCATTTCCCGGTGCTGCTTCCGGTAAAGGATATGCTCTTTCATTATTGGCTGGCATGTGTGTTTCAGTGGATAAGGATGATGGATATGAAAAACAGTTACCTGTAGCCCCATTTTTCCTATTCAGGAGCTATATCTTCTGTTTATATGTCAGTCCTTCTTATGATCCTGGAATTGAGAACTGGACAGGCTTAGCGGCTGACATTGAAAGACTGTGTTCACTCTCCCCAGTCCTGACCGTGTAGTGTAGAGGCCAGGGGGGGAGGAGGGCACCCGGCTTTGAACTCCAGCTTCGCCACGTGGTGGCTGGGGAACCTTGTCCATATCACGTCAGCTTCTTCTTAAGTAGACACAATAAGGCCTATTTTCCAAACTTGTCAAGAGAGTCAAAGGGTTTAACATAAGTAATGGTAAGTGCTGGACAAGCTCTTTTTAATTCACTTCATATACTCTTTCCGCTTTTTTCCATATTGGTCTTATTAGCAAACTAGCAGATTATCTAGTTTAGTGTTTTCAGCCTGTTTGATTCAGGACTCTCTATGTTAGGTGTGCCAGGGAAAGAGCCCGCCCTTCTCCCTTTTTCTTTCTAAGAAGATAAGCAGTGGACTTGACTTAGCCCTTGCCTCACTTACACTGGCCTTACCTGAAGCCGTTTCCTGTCACACTTGTGTGTCTGCCTCTTGAACGATGCAGAGAAATGCTTCGTAGGTGATTCAAGGCTTTGCTTACATTTCACTCTTAGGCAGTGTGCCCCATGACTGTTTTACTGAGAAACAAGCATCCTCCAGTATCTGCACAGGGATTTCATGTTGACTGTTTATATGAAACCCAGTGGTCTTCTCATTTCTCCCTCAGTTATCTGTTTTATACGGGTGGTAGCAACATCTTCTGTGCTTGTTAAATAGAAAACAAAACCAAAGGTATTTCAAAAGAGGCTTGTATGTGCTATGATCAAAATCCACTAATTGTGAATATCTTTTCCAGGAGGGCACCGTGGAATATGTTGATCTCTCTGTACTGGGAGCTCCTCTGATGGGAGTGTGGGAGCAGAGTTAAGATCTGTCTACCAGCCTGCCTTATTTTCTGGGAACAAGTCACTTTAATTCTCTAGGCCTCAGTTTCCTCATCTACTGTAAAATAGGGAGGTGGGAAAAGATAAAACTATCAAGAGGCCTACTTGCATGAAAATTCTGTGATTAGCGAACCTCGTAAAGTTGTTCCTTGGGTTCTATGATTCATGATTATTTGGGTAGTACAAGGCTAATCCTTGTTCCTTTTTATCTTTTTAATTAAAAAGATTCTTGTCAAAGTATAGAAGTAAGGTGGAAAGTACTGTTTAATTTATTAATACTCATTAATGGCTTTTACTTATTAGCACCAGGGTGCATGAAATCTGCTAATTACAGTAGTCTTTTCTATTAATTTAGGATCACATGTTCTTAGCCGTTTGTTTTGGTTATTTGAAAATAAAGAATGCATTGATTCTTTACAATAAAATTCTCCAGTTTACATTTTTACCAGTTCTACAGAGTTTTTCTATAAAAAGGGTCTGAACATATACAATTTTTGATTGTGCTCTTGTTGAGAGCAACAGGCCCTGATATCAAGCAACAATAATAACAAAATTTACTTCTTTGTGAATAGTCTCGGAAACAGCTAAATGGTCATTGTGTTGAGAATTTATGTCTTCTAGAAATAAATTCATGTCAGACTTGAATTACATCGGTTAACAAACAGACTTTCAAACATAAGCCTTTGGCTTTTCAGTCCGTTTGAGAGGTCTCCTGAGGTCTCTGGACAGGCCCCGTTTCACCTGCACCTGCAGCAGCAGAGCTGGGTGTCAGCTCGGCAGCTCATGAGGGCACTGAAGCTCGAGAAGGAGCAAGCAGAATGGACTTGATGGGAACATAAAGGATGTCAGAATATCCAACCAGTTGATCAGGCCACTTGACAGACCGGCTATATTTGTGGGCTGAAAAGAACTATTCCCATGAGTAGTCACTTTTGTACGAAAACGAACAAAGAGGTGAAAAAATGTACGGGCACAAACTGGATTATTGGTAACATAAAACTTTTGGAATAAAATGATTGTACTTTTATGGGTCTAATCTTACTGTGTGCATAATGGTAATAAAATGCAAAGCTAGTTTCATAGGATTGTAGCCTGCCAATTGGATAATGCTGGTTGAATTTCTCTAAATTCCAGCAGCCACATTTTGAGCTTTAAATATTTGATGTAATTATTAAAATTCTTTTTTTTTTTTTTTTTGGTTGAGGAAGATTTTTCCTGAGCTAACATCTCTTGCCAATTTTCCTCTTTTTGCTGAGGAATATTCACCCTGAGCTAACATCTGTTGCCAGTCTTCCTCTTTTTGTATGTGAGCCACCACGACAGCATGGCCACTGACAGATGTGTGGTTTCACCCCCGTGAACTGAACCCAGTATGCCGAAGTTAATCCCTAGGCCATGGGGCTGGCCCCATTCTTCAAGTTCTTAATGTCCACTTAGTTCTAATTCAATCTGTAAAAGCTCTGTGTTATTACCATTGTTGTCGTCACTGATTAATGGTTGATTTTAAAGTTTAGGGGCATTTCATTTTCTTTTTGATGTTTAAG